GTTGTATTGGCATAGGCACCCAGCCCCTGTTTCAATGCATTGCTGGCCACCAGCAATTGTTGTTGTTGCAATTGCTGCTGTTGTTGTTGCTGTTGCCTTTGACTTTGTGATTGCATGCTGTTCGTATTAAAAGGATTTAAACGTGTCGGCTGCAATGGCTCATTGTTCATCAAATCAAAACGATTCTCGGTAATGTTGATTTTATTGCCAGTCGCCGTCGTATTTGACGTCGAGGATGCCAACGTCGATGAGGATGTTGTGGATTTTTTCTGTGACGATGAGCCCGTTACTGACTTGGATGGTGAGGCCGACAAAATGGCCGTGGATGCTGTACTGGCTGTCATTTTATCGGGGAATGTCGATAACAGATTGTTGCCAAAGGCATTGTTATCCATACCCATTATACTGCCGCCACCTCCGCCGCCGTAATGATTGCTAGGTGGTGCTGAATAGAGACTGGATGTAATACTGCCCATGGTCGAACGATAATCATCGTTGTTGTTCGAGCGCATTGTTGATGAGGACAATAATTTTTGTTCATTTCCCCGGTCTCGAAGTCCATCTAAAATATCACCTGATGCCCGGTCGCCTTGGTTCGTTTTAATCGAGGATGTGGCTGTGTTCGTTCCGTTTCCACGATTTTGATATAATTTGGCATTTGCCACAAGATTTGTTGTTGCATAGGCACCACAACTATCATAGAGAGATTGTTGTTGCTGCTGTTGCTGCTGATAGGCCTTATTGTTGGCAAGTAGTTGCTGCTGCTGTTGTTGCAATAACGTTGCATGTGCACTTCCGCCATTTGGTGTTTTAAATGTTGAACATGCAACTTCAGCATAATCCGGCATATTTAGTGGTGTAAGTCTGGAAAATACAAAAACGAAAATTCATTGAAATCAGTTACCAAGAAAAAAACCAACAACGACAACGAAACTCAAAAATGTAATTCGTAATATCAACATCGAATGGATGACTGACTGACTGAAATATGCATGCAATGCAATTTTAATGTGAAAAGGGAAGGGAAACGTTTTATGTTCTTCGTTTTTGTTTTTTTTTATCCTTCTCTTTATTTTACTCAAATATTATTTCATGTTCATTCATGTTCTCTGGAAGTCAATATATACACAATAATGAGTGGTTGTTAGCCAAGTTGGTCCTCAACCTCCACCTTCCTTCTTCGAATTGGATATGTTGTCGCATTAACAATTTTGTCGAATAGGAAAAAAATAGATTGCGTGAAACATGTACTAACGATGTACTAATTGCAGTAGATTGATTACCTAGTTCCGTACAAGATTATATGACATGGAATATGATAAGGAAATACAAATAATAATAATAGAAAGGATATGACCAGGGGTCGACACTCCACCAGTTTATTTTTTTTTTTAATGAAATAGGAAAATTAATTTGCAGGACAGAAAACGATTACTGAACACACAGACAAACATTTATACGATTGAGGAAATAACCAGTCAAATAAATACAAACATACAAATATGGTTGCAACATTATCTGAAATGTACTTCTATAACCCGAACTTTGATTGGACAGTATCTGAGAGTTATACCGCAGAAACAAATAACTAATGTTGAATAAAAAGACGAAAGGTGGAAACATAAACCTGCCAAAAAAGTTCAGATTTAAAAACCAGTAAGAAAAGTAGTAAAGTCGGACTGGGCCGACTATATGATACCCTTCACCACTTTGGGATATCGTTACATAAAATGCAAAAAGGCGTAACTAACAAAAAATTGAAAATTGACTTTTTGAATAAATATTGTGAATGTCAATAAACTACATGTCAAAGCCTCCGAAGAATAGTATGCTAAGTCTGAAATCTATATCTGACCCGATTTCAGGGAAACATGCCAGAGACTAATTTATATAACATCAGTACCGATTGACACAAATCGGCCTAGCTATGGATCTTTTCACGAAGCTTAGCAACATCATTCGAAAGATATATATGGTCTTTGGTGTACCAATTACCTTAAATCGGACGAAAATACATATTGTAGCTATATCTAAATCTGAACCGATTTTTACGAAACTTGGCAGACACCATTCTCGATCTTATTCATATCTCTGTGCCAAATTTCGTGCACATCAAAAGATTTCAAGGGACTTTAGTGGACTATTTACCTAAAATCGGGCGAAGCTATATATGGGAGCTATATCTAAATCTGAACCGATTTTCATGAAACTTTGCACACATCATTCTATACTTAATTTAGTACGCTATGCCAAATTTCATGCAAATCGAAAGATATATAGGGACTTTGGTACCCAATTAACCTTAAATCGGACGAAGATATATATGGGAGCTATATCTAAATCTGAACCGATTTTCACGAAACTTGGCAAACATCATTCTAGAATTTATTCATTACGCTGTGCCAAATTTCGTGCTAATCAAAAAATATATAGGTACTTTTGTACACAACTAACCTTAAATCGGACGAAGATATACATGGGAGCTATATCTAAATCTGAACCGATTTTCACGAAACTTTGCACACATCATTTTAGACTTAATTCAGTACGCTATGCCAATTTCGTGCAAATAGAAAGCGATATAGGGACTTTTGTACACAATTAACCTTAAATCGGACGAAGATATACATGGGAGCTATATCTAAATTTTAACCGATTTCCACGAAACTTAGCACATATCATTTTAGACCTTATCCATTACGCTGTGCCAAATTTCGGGCAAATCGAAAGATATATTGGGACTTTAGTGGACTATTTACCTAAAATCGGTCGAAACTATATATGGGAGCTATATCTAAATCTGAACCGATTTTCACGAAACTTTGCACACATCATTTTAGACTTAATTCAGTACGCTATGCCAAATTTCATGCAAATCGAAAGATATATAGGGACTTTGTAACACCATTTACCTTAAATCGGACGAAAATATATATGGGAGCTATATCTAAATCTTAACCGATTTTTCCCAATTTCCCAATTTGTTTACAATTTAACATGGACAGACGGACGGTGGGCGGACATGCATAAATCGACTCAGAAAGTGATTCTATGCATATTCTCTAAAGGAACCATGGGTCTATCTCGATTATTTTTGCCTGTTACAAACATATGCACAAAGACATAATACCCTGTACCACAGTGTGGTGAAGGGTATAAAAATACCATATTCTTCCATATTAATTATTCTTCTTTCTATTTTCTTCATGTTACCTATCACTGTGGTGATATAATTTACTTTTTTATTTCTTTATTTCAAAATACTTCAACTAAAATATTTTCCTAAATCATTCCTTTAACACAAACAATTCATAATAGCATCACTGCGTTTTTCAACTCAATTAAATAAAATGAAAACCCCACAAAAACCAAAAAGGATATCAAGAAAAGCAATTATCTTACAAAAAAAAAAAAAAAAACATTTTTCACAATTCTCTACTAAATTCAACCCAAAAAGAACCTGAACCTGAACACAACCCCAAAGATAGAAAATATGCTCAACAAAACTGAACTAATTAAAAACCACTTAAGTTATAACTCGACAAAAATACTCCAAAGAAATATCAGAGGAAGAAGAACATCTTAAGTAAGTTTAGACTGCCACACTTCTACCGCACATAGATACACAGACTCCTTCAGGTAAATTCATTTTTCTAAAATGAATAAATGTTGTTTTGACTCCTCAACGTAGAAAAAAAGAAGAGAAGATAGGAGAAAACTCAGAATATGATACTTAATTAAGAAAATTATGTTAAAAAATGTTTCAACAATTTTTGTTTTCGGTTAAAAGGTGTAGGTGGTTTTAAATGTCTATGGGCATTTCTTTTTTTTCGGTTTGTCTGTATGGTAAAGCTGGGTAAATGGAACAAGTGTTAGGAATAGTATAATTTTGAGGCTAGAATACCTGAGCATGAAATTGTATTTCAACGAAGAAAAATTGAATTAAAATTTAATTTATTATAAAATGTGTAGGCTTTATGTGTGTCAAACCTTGGACAAAAAATGCAATTTGTGATGAGAAATCAAAAATTATACCTATTACGAAGGGTGGTTTCCTTTAAGATATGACCACTGGCATTCTAAGGTAAGGGGGGGGGGGGTAAGAAAAAATCGAACTAGGAAAACAAATGTTGCCCCAACAATGTCATGTCCATTTAATATTGGGGTATGTTAAGCTGGGGATGTTATGCTAAATAACAAAAACTAATTACAACGTTTTTTAATACTACGTAACAATAAGGAAGAATTGTTTTGACCGGAAAAATTGTAACACATTGCAAAGTACGTAATACCGATAGATATATTTTTTAAATATTTAAAAAGAAAATAAATTGTTTGTAGCTTTAAATAAATAATATTGTATGACATTAAATAATAGGCGGCCGTTCGATTTGCCCATGCCTTCATAGACTGGTTCAATCATATAACAAGGTATACACGAATAAACTGCATGGAGGCGAAGTTTCTTTCTGAGGGTAAATAATTCCAACTTATGTACAAAAAACTGAAATGGTTTTAATTGGGCGAGACCGAGGGACTTTGACTTGCATACGGACAAAACTTAGATACTTCTTTCCACAAGAAAAACAAAAATATGACAGTAGAGTAACTTCTGGTAATGTGGACCATGCGTCAAATGTGGACCACCCCCCATATCTAAGAAAATGCTTGAAATATGCCAATGCCGCCTTGATAAATGTTTTCCTAATTAGTGAAAACAAACATCAAACTTGGTTTTTAATAAATAATTACAATGTTGAAAATTTAGTAGGTGAAAATGTAGCTCTGATTGTAAAAGTGTGATTTGAAAATTTTTTAGCACTATAGTCGAACGATTTTGTAAAATAGTCGAACATTTTGTTTTTCTCGAAAATAAAGAGGTTATGTGGTTTTCTTGTTTTCTTTAACAAAAATACACGTTTATCTGTAATTACTTTCGGTTATTTTTAAATTTTTATTCATTTTTGAAGACGATAATTATTTTTAAATAAAAATATTCAATGTCGGGTAATGTGGACCACTATAAAAAAGTGGGACATTTTCATGAGGACGAGTTCGAAACAAGGGCGCATTTAATATGCGAGGAGGTATTCTATCCTCTGAAAACTCGATATCCGAAATTATAGGTGCCTCGGTTGGATAATGAAGCAAGGACCTTCAAAATACCGCAAATGGGGCGGTACCCTCAAATGAGGGCTATTCCAAAACATAAACACATAGTATATTTTTGCATTCATTGTTACCCAAGAGTGCAATAAATTGGAATTTATCACAATTAATCCACAACCTACCTTTAACTTACTGATCCTCATTACCCACACATACTGGTCCACATTACCCGCCAAGTTATTTTTATTTGCAGTTTAGAGCTTTTTGAAATATAATGCAATAACATTTTTATGGACAAATATATATAATTTTTGACCTGGAATATAATTAGCCAACAAATCTACCATGCTGTGAAAACAATTTGTTTTTATTTTTTACCGTTGTTACGCCCACAATATCAAAAAAATAAAATGGTGGTCCACATTACCCGAAGTTACTCTATGAACAATCCGTCTTCCAAAAAAAAAAAAAAAAAAAAAAAAAAAAAAAAAAAAAAAAAAAAAACCTAGATATCTGGGAATCATGCCAGATAGAAAAACACCATAAAGCAAAAGGTAGCCAAGATCCACATGAGTCGTATAAAACTCAAATACTGGAGAAAGACTCTTAGGTTAACATAACACCATTACAAATGACCTCTACATATATGAATCTCGGCTAGAAGGAAGGATGCTATTGGGACTCTTTGCAAAAAAAGGAACTAAATTTATAAAATGCTGTTGTTGTTTCCGATCACTGGAACATTCGAATCTATAAATTAGTAAAATGGCGGACCTTTGTGGAAAGTGGACTCTTTTCTACACAAAAACCAAGCTTAAATATGGAGAAGATCTTCACCGATTTGATGTATCCTTTTTTCAACCGTGGTAGCCCGATACTCCACATTATTGTGTGTTTTGTAAATATAATGTGGAGTATATACGTTTGCAACTGAATAGACTCAAATTGTGATATTGTTTTCTACCAAAAAATTACCAGGATTGGTTCATGTTTTGGTATAGTCCCCACGTAACGGAATCCTAAATTTGCTGTATTTTGAGGAATCCATTAACGTTTCTAATTTTAAACCAACAAAAACCAGTGAGCGGAGCAGTATAGTCGGACGGGGCCGACCATATGATACCGTACACAACTTCCATGGAAATCTAACTTTCGGTGGTTCTGTATTATGAGCTTGGGTAATATTTCAGTACAGATTCCCTTCGCCGTGAGTTGTGTTGTGATGTTCGGCTTTCAATTGTGGCCTACAGATCAACTCGAAACAAACACAAAAAAAGTTTTCGGTCGAATTCATCCCAATATTATTATCTGGTCATCACCGAAAATTATAGACGTTGTCCTTGACCATACCTGGATCCTCGTGGCAAATTTTAAAGCGATCAGCGCTATATATCCGCCCTCCTGTAAATATTTAAGCACCTCTAAATATTTAACTGTAACTCCCACATCCGAGTACATACGACAATATAATTGGTATCAACTTCTCGGGTCTATGTCCTGTCATTTTTCACATAAAAGAATGGGTCCATTTGACCCGCAAATCGCGATGTTTGAGCCATAATTGCGACTAGAAAATCTGACAATAATAAAGTTTTTGGTCCATTTCATCACCAAAATATTAACCGATCTCTACCAAAAACAATAGGGGTCTTGACTGGCCAGAACCCATCCTACATGAAAAATTTCGTAAAGATTGGTTCAGAACTGTGGCCTGTATCGTATTTACAAATTGTAATGGACTGACGGACGCACGGACACATATGTCTAAATCGACTCAGCTAGTCGAGATATGACGATCGGAATACTTAAATGTGGGTCTAGGACCAATATTTCGCGGCGTTACAAACTCTTGGGGCTGCATAAAGATATAATTTGTAAACACGATACAGGCCACAGTTATGGACCAATCTTCACGAAATTGTGCATGTAGGATGGGTTCTGGCCAATGAAGACCCCTATTGTTTTTGGAAAAGATCGGTTAATATTTAGGGGATGAAATGGACCAAATACTAAATTTTTGTCGGTTTTTCTGGTCGCTCCAGAGGCCGCAATTATGGCCCAAATACGGCCCAAATACGAAATTTTGCATGGAGAAGGGGATCGGGCCAGAGAATAAGCATGCATGTTTTGATAAAGATCGGCCAATATTTAGCGGGTCAAATGGACACTGACTTTTGTGTGAAAAATGGCAAAATTTGTATTCTATGGCATATATATTTACTCCTGGAGGATGTAGACCCCAGGAGTTGATAGCATATCCAAGAGGAGTGGTTGGCCTTTAAATTGATACCAAATATAGTGATGTATCTACTCAGATGTGGGAGTTACAGTCAAATATTTACAGGTGCTTACGTATTCAGATATTATTTAGTAACCCATTACCACATTAGAGGGAGAAATATCGCGCTGATGGCTTTGAAATTTTTCATGAAGTTCCAGTTATAGTCAAGAACAACGTCTACAATTTTCGGTGATGATCAGGATACAATTTTGGGATGAAATGGACGGAAAACATACTTATTTGTGTGTTTTCGAGTAGAGTATAATCCGAAAATCACAACACAACCCACCGTGAAGGTAATCTGGACAAGTAATTAGAAGGACTGTACTGAATATTCGAAAAAATTAAGAAAGAGGTGTTGTTGACCTCTAATCGGACAACAGGGGGCAAATATCACGAAATACTACTCAGACTCAGAATAAACATCCTCAGAAAGTTAGAGTTCGTGGTAGTTGTGTAGGGTATCGTATGGTCGGCCCCGTCCGACTATACTGCTCCGCTCACTGGTTTTTAGTTCAGTTCTTCATTGAATATCTAATGAAAATCAATATTTCATTATCCACATAGCGATTTTTCGAATACTCCTTCTTTTAATGGTTATGTCAAATCCCTACTCAGCACGGAACTCTTCAATTAAATATTCCAAAGGAGAAAACTCATGATAATTTCCAATTTATCTATCATTACGTTTACGTGCTCTGTGCTATGGCAAGAAAAAAAATCCCATAAATAATCCATGGACTTATGCTATGCGACTATACCATGCCATACCACCTCAAGTGGGGAAACGACGTTATTATTAATTTCGACAATATGTATATTTTTTTTACAAGCATTTTTGTTTATCACGTAAATGCTTAAGTTTATGTTCATAGAGGTGTGGATGGAGAGTTCGCATTAAACCCTTTTTGCTATACAGAAAAAAACGAAGAGGAAATGTTTTGAGATTTGCAAAGCTTGGCGGAAATCATATCCTAATATATGTGTTTAGGTGGGTGTGTGTGTGCTTGTGTTTGAAGAAGAAAAAAAGTGAAAAATGCTTACCTTTCATAATCCGGCAATGGCATGTTAGGCTGATTTTGTTGCTGTTGTTGTTGATGATTGTTGTGGTGGGACTGTGATGTGGCCTGTCCCGTAACTTGTGCGTAATCTGGCAATTGCTCCTTTGTTGTACTGCTGCTGTTGTTGGCCTGACGCCAAACACCGCCTGTTGGGTCGATCCAAACACCATTGGCATTTAAGGGTAATGTGGGGAATTTCCTTACGGCACCGATTGCGTGATTTCCTAAAATGAAAAAGAGAAAATTGTAGTAATCAGAAAATACTGGGCGTTAGGAAGGTTAATGTAAAGAAATGCAAAACAATATTCGGAATTTCTATTTTAATAAAAACATATTTCATTTCTATTGTTCGGTCTTATCACACAGCGTTGAAACCTTTGTAGTTTATTGTTTTATTTCCAGTTGAGTTGTTTTTTTTTTTTGTTCTAATATTTTATTACAAATTGCTAACTCGTTTCTCTCTCTCCTCGCTTGGTTTCGGAAATAAACAATTTATTAGAATGTTTGTCATTCGGTGTGGTGTGGCTTGGTTTTTGTTTACCTTTATCGACTTATCTCTCTATTTTGGGGTTGTAAACAACAAGCTTTTGTGTGCAAATTAAGTTTGTAGTTTATTGCTTAATTTTATTTTAGGCAATTTATATAAAATTTTGACAAATTTGTATTTTTTATGTCCCGACAATTATTTATCTGATTGTGTTTTGGTAGGCGTCTTAATTGCTTAGATACATATTAAGTGGTCTTTCTGTTTATGACATTGTTATTGTGATTAAAATTATTTATATTTTTATGCGCCACTAAATACTGATAATCTCTATGACCCATTTTCGTTTTAAGTATTCTTAAGGATGAGGAATTTCATGTGGGTCCTATAAAAATAAAGTAATCGGCAGTATATTAAACGAAGACTTCATATAGTATTTTTAAAGTATATGTCCGCACGATGGGTATCAGATCATCTTACCATCAATGATCAATATTGGTAAAATTTTGGATTTGTGGTACCTCACAAATGTCGGTAATTTGGGCAGTTTGAATACGCCTTTCAATATTGGCCCACGTTTCCCCTATTCTCAGGACTTGATCCACTTTTTTCAGCCGAATTAGTTCAAATTTTAAATGTTTGGTTCACATTGGCTCTCTCCCTCTGTTTTTCAACCGGGTGGTCCTCCAATTTGAAATTTTGGATTCTCATTTCTTTGGGTTCTCTCACTTATTGCCCAAAATTATGAATATCGGTCGATCTTTGCATATAAACCTCATAAAAGCTTCCACGAAGTGGATTTAATATTTTCAAAATAAGTCAATCGTTAAACATATCTCCACGCTAAGATCACATGTTCGTTTCGGTATGTTCAAGATCTTGTATCAAATTTTGAACCTGAGAATCTGTAATTAAGTATATAGTTTTCTTCGAGCCAAAATTTACCATGACATATCACCCATTTAAAAGTTCCGACCGTATTTTTATTAACCAGCTCTTGGGGAGTTCTAAAAAGTTCATTTTATGATTTTTAGAAGAAGTGAATTTTTGGAAAGATCTAATAAGAATATAAAGCATGAGTATTTTAAGATTTTCCTGGGATGTTCAATATATAAAAAAGGATTTTTAAAGTTCCAACAAGAATATTTTTCATGATTTTTTATGAGAATTCAAAAATAATGTAGGCCTATATATTGTTTAAAATTGTTCGGATATCCCAATAAAAATATAATTTAGCATAGATTTTTTGAAGATTTTTTAGGGAACTCAACAAGAATGTAAAGCGTTGGCTTTTTACAGATTTTTGGAAGATCCAAAAGAATTTTAGACGAAAATAACCATGGATTTTAAAGTTTTGTTTGAGGATCCAATAAGCTAGAGTTTTATATTTCTTTGAAGTATCCAATAAAATTTTTAAGCTTGGATTTTTTTTAAGATTATCTTCGAAACCCGAATAAAAACAATGAAGATTATTTTGAAGACCCAATTAGAATATTAAGCGTGGCATTCGTAAAGACTTTTTTGGAGGACCCGATAAGAATATTAAGTTTGGATTTTTTTTGGAAGGGCCAATAAAAATATTAAGCAAGGATTTTTAAAGATTTTTGTGGAAGAACCAATAAGAATATTAAGCGTGGATTCTTAGAGATTTTCTTCGAATACCCAATAAGAATATGAAGTGTGGATTTTTAAAGATTTTCTTCCAAGACCCAATAAGAATATGAAGCGTGGATTTTTAAAGATTTTCTTCGAAGACCCAAAAGGAAAATGAAGAGTGGATTTTTAAAGATTTTCTTCGAAAACCCAATAAGAATATGAAGCGGGGATTTTTAAAGCTTTTCTTCGAAGACCCAATAAGAATATGAAGAGTGAATTTTTAAAGATTTTCTTCCAAGACCCAATAAGAATATGAAGCGTGGATTTTTAAAGATTTTCTTCGAAGACCCAATAAGAATATGAAGCGTGGATTTTTAAAAATTTTCTTCAAAGACCCAATAAGAATATGAAGAGTGAATTTTTAAAGATTTTCTTCGAAGACCCAATAAGAATATGAAGCTTGGATTTTTAACGATTTTCTTCGAAGACCCAATATGAATATTACCAAATTTTATTCGAAGATCCAATTAGAATATTAAGCATGGATATTTTCGAAGGCCCAATAAGAATATTAAGCATAGAATATTAAGCATAGATTTTTAAAGAATTTATTCGAAGACTCAATAAGAATATTAAGCGTGCATTTCTTGAAAGGCCCAATAAAAATATTGAGCGTGTTTTTTTGAAGAACCAATAAAATATTAAGCGTGCATTTCTTGAAAAACCCAATAGGAATAGTTTTTAATTGTTTGCTGAACACTATAAGAATTGGACCATTTTAATTTTGGGCGTATTTAAGACTTTTTTGAGGTTGTTATTAGGACTAAAGGCTAGTAGTTTTTATTTATTTTTTTTTAATTACCACAACCGTAATATTCCTGAATTTTTCATATATGTTTGTCAATACCTATTATGTATGGACTTGGAAATATTTTCGTCAGCACCTTATTTAAAAATCTTGTTCAAGAGCTTATAAGGTGTGTATTTATAAAGATTTTTTTGAGGGACCCTAAAGGATTTTTTTAAATATTTTTGTTGGAACCTTACAAGGGCATCAGGCGTAAATTGTTTTTAAAGATTTTTTGAGGGGGCCCTAAAGTATTTTTTTAAATATTTTTGTTGGAACCTTACAAAGGCATCAGGCGTAATTTTTTTAAATATTTTTGTTGGGACCTTATAACGACATTATCCGTAGATTTTTAAAATATTTTTGTTGGAACCTTATAAGGAGATTAGGCGTATATTTTTTAAAAAATATCTGTTGAAACCTTATAAGTACATTGTGCGTAGATTTTTAAATATATTTGTTTAAACCTAAAACGGGCATAGGCGTAGATTTGTTTAATATTTTCGTTGAAAATTTAAACGGATATAGTCTGTAGATTTTTAAAATATTGGTCACATCTTTCTACTTTTTCAGAACTAATGTTTGCCAAAATATCCCCATTTTTTTCTATTTTGTATTTTCAAATGTTTCTCTTTTATAATTGTATGTGTGAGCAATTTGACACACACCGACAGCCCATGGGACCTATTTTGGGCACTGCTGCCATAAAGTGACATTAGGCGTATATTTTTGAAATATTTTTGCAAGACCATAAAAGAACATTAGGTGTGTATTTTTTTAAAATTTTTCATATTTTTGTTTGCAGAACTATAAAAGGATATTAGAAGTAGGTTCTTTCAAATATTTTGGCAGGATCGTGTAAGGATTAGTCATGTTTTTTTATGTTTTGCAGGGTATTAAAAAGGCGCATACTTTTAAAATACAGTTGGCAAAAATATTTGGTGAGGATTTCATTAAAGTTTATCCACTTCACATAATTTTCCTTCCTAGTAACTTTTATGTTAACTTTTAATTAATTAATTAATATTCATAAATTTTTTTGTTTGTTTTTATAACTTACCATGTAAACTCCCCAACGATGTTTGTTTGATGAACTGATATCGTTTAAATAACACCAATGCACCAAATAGAAAAACTATAATAGCGATTATGGAGCCCAGTAAAACGATAAACCACGTCTGCGTTAAAAAATCATCGGCAATATCACGATTGATGGGATATCTAAAAAAGTAGCAAAATAAAAACAAAGAAAACAGGTGGGGGAACATTTCATTAATACTCAACACTTCGACAATTGAAATGCATTAAAATCTTCTACAGCCAACAAACTATGCCGACAACCACCTACCTTGTATAGCCTGTATCCAATGATTGTGTTCTAGGATCCATACGCAATACAGCCGGCTTACTGAATGGACCCACACCGACACGAGTGGCCGCCGCAACGGCAATGTAATAGGTAACACCGGTAGTCAGATTGGCCAGCAGCAATGTTGGTGAACTGGCATCAATTGTCATATTTTTATAGATGCGTGTTGTATTGTGAGCATCAAGTCCTTTGACAATTACATTGTAGTTGGTAAGGATGCCTGTGAAATTAAAACGAATGAAAAAGGGGAAGAGACGGAAAGAGAGACAGTGAGTGAGTGCGAACAAAAATGAAAGGAAAAATTGCCGGCTTATTTCAGGCTGTTATGGCGAATGATGAAGGATGAATAGGATAGGGATTGGACATGGACGTTATTGTGATGGTGGTGATGATGATTAAGTAGAGCTCATTTGCTTGCTGAATGTTTGCTTTTGTGCTGTGTTGTGTTGTTGTCACGTTAGCGCAATCATCAGGAGAGCACTATTTCATCTTTAATCCTTACCATTGCGAGTCTTGTTGGGATACGGTGGCTGCCATTTCAAAAAGACAGAGGTGCGATTGAATTGTATAGCTTCCATGCCATGTGGTGGCGATTCGGGAACTGTAATGAAAAATGGCATAATAAATGGAATTGT